GACTCAGGGCCAATACTTATCCTCTGGAGTTACCTAACAGGTATCATCTCAGCACCATGCTAAGATGACAACCCTTATCTACAGATGCCCAACATACAATCTCCACAAAAAAAAAAAAAAAAGTTTGAAAAGTGCATGCATAAAATGCACAAGCTCTTTAAGGATCTTTATTAGGGAACTTTAAAAATACAAAACATCAATAACTAGTTATCTGACCATTTGCTGTCATTGCACATCTTATCTTACACAACTGATGATGAAGTTTTTTTTATTTTTGTTTGCACACCATTTCTTTTGCAGAGACTGTATATAACATTTCAAAACATGAATTAACATCACTGCTGGTTTCTCCTTTCTGTAAAAACAGTTAGTGCTTCATATGTTCCTACTGACACACCATTCTGGTTTAAAATTTTTTTTACAAACTCCACTTTGTAACATTTTCCACTAAAATACATTACGCCTGAAATGAATCGGCATTTTCACATTCTCATGCCAACTCATTTATATTTATAGGGAAGAACTGAGCCTGTAAAATTCATAAACTGCCTGGGGAATAGGAGGGGTGCTAGTGATCAGGGTTGATCTGAGAAGAGGGAAGCTCTAAATACTTGGATCAAGAACTCTTCACTAGAATCAAGGAACTCAAAGGATTTTTACATACAACCTTCCTTCAAAATTTAATACCTTCAAACTTTTCAATCACAAGCATAAAAACTTCAGCTTCCACATTAATCAATCTTGTGATACCAAAACACAATGAATAAATAAAAGGCAACAAACCTTGTTATATAATTGTATGAAATTATGAGCTTTCAAGATTGTTGATATAATTTTAATTTTATTGATCCATCTTTATTTTTATCAACTTTATTAGAAATCTAACAGAACTTTGAGCAATCACTGATAAAAAGTAAAGTTTGCAATAACCAATTATTTATTCCGAGTAGAATACTTACCTATAAAATAAGATCTCACAAAATGAATTACATCACTACATCTGCAAATCTCAGGAGTGTATAGCATTCGTGAAGTGTGTGTATAGGCTGTATAAAGAGTTCTCTATGTTACATTCAAGTTGCATAAATATGTTAAAATCTAGAACTGAAAAATTTCATAATTTTTTTTAATTCAAACAAGTTTATCATAAACACCATTTATCTGAAACAAGAGGCAAACTCAAGAAAGCCTGAATAAAAAATTCTCTAAAACAGTATTCACCCTACATGGAAGGCTCATTGGTTCTGAATTTGGTGCTAATTAATAAGTTTACCGTAAAATTAACATATTTATTATCGAAACCGATACAAAAATGTTGTCATATTTGTATTTAATACATATTTACATGACTAATTTACAGCTAATTTTTCAGGTAGTAGGTTGGTAGACAGCAACCACCCAGGGAAGTACTACCGTCCTGCCAGATGACTGTGAAACAGAAACCTGTAACTGTTTTGCATGATGGTAGGATTGCTGTTTTCTTTTTCTGTCTCATAAACACGCTAGATAACAGGGATATCTTGCTACTCCTACTTACACTTTAGTCACACTTCACAGACACGCACATGCATATATATATATACATACATCTAGGTTTTTCTTGTTGAAAAAAAGAAAAAAAAAAAAATCTATGTTTTTCTCCTTTTTCTAAATAGCTCTTGTTCTTCTTTATTTCTTCTATTGTCCATGGGGAAGTGGAAAAGAATCTTTCCTCCGTAAGCCATGCGTGTCGTATGAGGCGACTAAAATGCCGGGAGCAATGGGCTAGTAACCCCTTCTCCTGTAGACATTTACTAAAAAAGAGAAGAAGAAAAACTTTATAAAACTGGGATGCTTAAATGTGCGTGGATGTAGTGCGGATGACAAGAAACAGATGATTGCTGATGTTATGAATGAAAAGAAGTTGGATGTCCTGGCCCTAAGCAAAACAAAGCTGAAGGGGGTAGGGGAGTTTCGGTGGGGGGAATAAATGGGATTAAATCTGGAGTATCTGAGAGAGTTAGAGCAAAGGAAGGGGTAGCAGTAATGTTGAATGATCAGTTATGGAAGGAGAAAAGAGAATATGAATGTATAAATTCAAGAATTATGTGGATTAAAGTAAAGGTTGGATGCGAGAAGTGGGTCATAATAAGCGTGTATGCACCTGGAGAAGAGAGGAATGCAGAGGAGAGAGAGAGATTTTGGGAGATGTTAAGTGAATGTATAGGAGCCTTTGAACCAAGTGAGAGAGTAATTGTGGTAGGGGACCTGAATGCTAAAGTAGGAGAAACTTTTAGAGAGGGTGTGGTAGGTAAGTTTGGGGTGCCAGGTGTAAATGATAATGGGAGCCCTTTGATTGAACTTTGTATAGAAAGGGGTTTAGTTATAGGTAATACATATTTTAAGAAAAAGAGGATAAATAAGTATACAAGATATGATGTAGGGCGAAATGACAGTAGTTTGTTGGATTATGTATTGGTAGATAAAAGACTGTTGAGTAGACTTCAGGATGTACATATTTATAGAGGGGCCACAGATATATCAGATCACTTTCTAGTTGTAGCTACACTGAGGGTAAAAGGTAGATGGGATACAAGGAGAATAGAAGTATCAGGGAAGAGAGAGGTGAAGGTTTATAAACTAAAAGAGGAGGCAGTTAGGGTAAGATATAAACAGCTATTGGAGGATAGATGGGCTAATGAGAGCATAGGCAATGGGGTCGAAGAGGTATGGGGTAGGTTTAAAAATGTAGTGTTAGAGTGTTCAGCAGAAGTTTGTGGTTACAGGAAAGTGGGTGCGGGAGGGAAGAGGAGCGATTGGTGGAATGATGATGTAAAGAGAGTAGTAAGGGAGAAAAAGTTAGCATATGAGAAGTTTTTACAAAGTAGAAGTGATGCAAGGAGGGAAGAGTATATGGAGAAAAAGAGAGAGGTTAAGAGAGTGGTGAAGCAATGTAAAAAGAGAGCATATGAGAGAGTGGGTGAGATGTTATCAACAAATTTTGTTGAAAATAAGAAAAAGTTTTGGAGTGAGATTAACAAGTTAAGAAAGCCTAGAGAACAAATGGATTTGTCAGTTAAAAATAGGAGAGGAGAGTTATTAAATGGAGAGTTAGAGGTATTGGGAAGATGGAGGGAATATTTTGAGGAATTGTTAAATGTTGATGAAGATAGGGAAGCTGTGATTTCGTGTATAGGACAAGGAGGAATAACATCTTGTAGGAGTGAGGAAGAGCCAGTTGTGAGTGTGGGGGAAGTTCGTGAGGCAGTAGGTAAAATGAAAGGGGGTAAGGCAGCTGGGATTGATGGGATAAAGATAGAAATGTTAAAAGCAGGTGGGGATATAGTTTTGGAGTGGTTGGTGCAATTATTTAATAAATGTATGGAAGAGGGTAAGGTACCTAGGGATTGGCAGAGAGCATGCATAGTTCCTTTGTATAAAGGCAAAGGGGATAAAAGAGAGTGCAAAAATTATAGGGGGATAAGTCTGCTGAGTATACCTGGTAAAGTGTATGGTAGAGTTATTATTGAAAGAATTAAGAGTAAGATGGAGAATAGGATAGCAGATGAACAAGGAGGCTTTAGGAAAGGTAGGGGGTGTGTGGACCAGGTGTTTACAGTGAAACATATAAGTGAACAGAATTTAGATAAGGCTAAAGAGGTCTTTGTGGCATTTATGGATTTGGAAAAGGCGTATGACAGGGTGGATAGGGGGGCAATGTGGCAGATGTTGCAAGTGTATGGTGTAGGAGGTAGGTTACTAAAAGCAGTGAAGAGTTTTTACGAGGATAGTGAGGCTCAAGTTAGAGTATGTAGGAAAGAGGGAAATTTTTTCCCAGTAAAAGTAGGCCTTAGACAAGGATGTGTGATGTCACCATGGTTGTTTAATATATTTATAGATGGGGTTGTAAGAGAAGTAAATGCGAGGGTCTTGGCAAGAGGCGTGGAGTTAAAAGATAAAGAATCACACACAGTGGGAGTTGTCACAGCTGCTCTTTGCTGATGACACTGTGCTCTTGGGAGATTCTGAAGAGAAGTTGCAGAGATTGGTGGATGAATTTGGTAGGGTGTGCAAAAGAAGAAAATTAAAGGTGAATACAGGAAAGAGTAAGGTTATGAGGATAACAAAAAGATTAGGTGATGAAAGATTGAATAACAGATTGGAGGGAGAGAGTATGGAGGAGGTGAATGTATTCAGATATTTGGGAGTGGACGTGTCAGCGGATGGGTCTATGAAAGATGAGGTGAATCATAGAAATGATGAGGGGAAAAGAGTGAGTGGTGCACTTAGGAGTCTGTGGAGACAAAGAACTTTGTCCTTGGAGGCAAAGAGGGGAATGTATGAGAGTATAGTTTTACCACCGCTCTTATATGGGTGTGAGGCATGGTTGATGAATGTTGCAGCGAGGAGAAGGCTGGAGGCAGTGGAGATGTCATGTCTGAGGGCAATGTGTGGTGTGAATATAATACAGAGAATTCGTAGTTTGGAAGTTAGGAGGAGGTGCGGGATTACCAAAACTGTTGTCCAGAGGGCTGAGGAAGGGTTGTTGAGGTGGTTCGGACATGTAGAGAGAATGGAGCGAAACAGAATGACTTCAAGAGTGTATCAGTCTGTAGTGGAAGGAAGGCGGGGTAGGGGTCGGCCTAGGAAAGGTTGGAGAGAGGGGGTAAAGGAGGTTTTGTGTGCGAGGGGCTTGGACTTCCGGCAGGCATGCGTGAGCGTGTTTGATAGGAGTGAATGGAGACAAATGGTTTTTAATACTTGACGTGCTGTTGGAGTGTGAGCAAAGTAACATTTATGAAGGGGTTCAGGGAAACCGGCAGGCCGGACTTGAGTCCTGGAGATGAGAAGTACAGTGCCTGCACTCTGAAGGAGGGGTGTTAATGTTGCAGTTTAAAAACTGTAGTGTAAAGCACCCTTCTGGCAAGACAGTGATGGAGTGAATGATGGTGAAAGTTTTTCTTTTTCGGGCCACCCTGCCCTGGTGGGAATCGGCCAGTGTGATAATAAAAAATAAAATAAATAATTTACAGCTCATATATTATATGGAAGTAAGAAAAAAATCATATTCATCATAGAAAAGAAAAATTGTGAAATGCACAGAGCACTGAAATTAGCAGAAAATTTTACTTCCAGTAGTGTCATTACAGCTTCAAAGGTTCTAAAACTAAGTTTTGCATTGGTTACTCACTATCAGAGCCTGAACCTGACTTTCCTCCACTGTTGCTACCACTATCACTCTTGCTGTTACTTCTACTTCTACTCCTACTCTTACTCTTGCTTGGGCTCCCACTCTTACTCCTGCTTGGACTCCTACTCTTGCTTCTGCTTTGGCTCCTACTCTTACTCCTGCTTCGGCTCCTACTCTTGCTCTTGCTCTGGCTTCTACTCTTACTCCTGCTTGGACTCCTACTCTTGCTCCTGCTTGGACTTCTACTCTTGCTCCTGCTTCGGCTCCTACTCTTGCTTGGGCTCCTACTTGGGTCCCTACTAGCACTCCTACTTCGACTTCCACTTTTCCGTGTGCTCTGCCGACTACCATCATCACTGCCACTATCACCTTTCTCACTATCACTTCCACTATCGCTATGTGAATCATCAGAGTCCTTAATAGTGTGCTTCGCCCTCTCCAGTCGCTTTGCCTTGTCTGTCTCAATATCAGATTCTTCTTCATCCGATGAGTAAATTGGGGCACGATCTGAAATTTAAAAATGACAATCTGTAATGCTGTTAACATACTAACTGAACAAGCAGTTTGAAGGGTTTAAGGCCCGTCAAATACAAAAGACAAATTAAAACCGTAATTCATCAAGACAATTTTTTTTTTCCAACAAGTTGGCAGTCTCCCACCGAGGCAGGGTGACCAAAAGAAAAAAGAAAGTCCCCAAAAAGAAAATACTTTCATCATCATTCAACACTTTCACCTCACTCATACATAATCAGTTTTTGCAGAAGCACCCAGATACAACAGTTTAGAAGCATATATAAAGATATAACATATCCGTCCAAACTGCCAGTATCCCAAACCCCTCCTTTAAAGTGCAAGCATTGTACTTCCCATTTCCAGTACTCAAGTCCGGCTACATTTTTATTTAGTCACTATAAATGGCAAGCAAGTCAGTGCATGAGTTTGCAACAGTGTTATTACAATTTCCTGAGTTGTGTGTGTCTTGTCTGCCTTTAAAACATTACACCTGATATATGTAACCATTTACATAACAAACTAAGTACATTTTTAGAGCAAAAGAAAAACGATGAAATTAAAGGCTCACAGCTGTGTATTAATAAAGAGTTAAACACTTACCATTTTGCTTATTCTTAAACTTGCTTTTAATGGCAGCCAAGGAAATGCCACCTTCATCATCATCTTCATAATTATCAGGTTCTAAGTAGTTGGCAGACAGTCCACGGTTTGAAGCTTTTTCTCTCACTCGACGTTGCTTGCTTTCTCGCCTCATGGAAGCTCTTAATCTATCTTCATCTCTCTGAAATTTCATGTGAACAAAATCATGGAGTACTCTTCAATATTCTCAGAATATGCTGAAAATTAAACTTCACAGGATGTAACTGTAATCTTAAATTTAAAAACCAAGTTATTATTCTCTATTACTTATATTGCAACTGCTTAAACCTGAATATTGGCCCAAAATAAGATAAAAAATACTGTACACTTGTAAAAAAGAATTAAATTGCAATACAGTGGACCCTCGCCTAACGAACGCATAGCATAACGTTAAATCCGCCTAGCGATACATTTTAACGAAAAAATTTTGCCTCGGCTAGCGCTAAAAAACTCGCTCAACGCGATTTGTTCGAGACGCGTCCACGTGTGGCCTGAGCCCGCCTCACTTGTTCCGTGGGTGCCAGTGTTTACAAGCCAGCCACCATGGTCACTTCCAAGCATACAATTGGAACATATCATATTATCACAGCCTTTTTAGTGATTGCACCTGCAAAATAAGTCACCATGGGCCCCAAGAAAGCTTCTAGTGCCAACCCTACAGCAAAAAGAGTGTGAATTACTATGGATATGAAGAAAGAGATCACTGCTAAGTATGAAAGTGGAGTGCGTGTCTCCAAGCTGGCCAGGTTGTACACAAAACCCCAATCAACCATCGCTACTACTGTGGCCAAGAAAATGGCAATCAAGGAAGCTGTTCTTGTCAAAGGTGCAACTTTGTTTTCGAAACAGAGATCGCAAGTGATAGATGTTGAGAGACTGTTATTGGTGTGGATAAACGAAAAACAGATAGCAGGAGACAGCATCTCTCAAGCGATCATATGTGAAAAGGCTAGGAAGTTGCATGACGATTTAATTAGAAAAATGCCTGCAACTAGTGATGATGTGAGTGAATTTAAAGCCAGCACAGGTTGGTTTGAGAGATTTAAGAATCGTAGTGGCATACATAGTGTGATAAGGCATGGTGAGGCTGCCAGTTCGGACCACAAAGCGGCTGAAAAATATGTGCAGGAATTCAAGGAGTACATAGACATAGACAGTGAAGGACTGAAACCTGAACAAGTGTTTAATTGTGACGAAACAGGCCTGTTTTGGAAGAAAATGCCAAGCAGGACCTACATTACTCAGGGGGAAAAGGCACTCCCAGGACATAAGCCTATGAAAGACAGGCTTACTCTGTTGATGTGTGCCAATGCTAGTGGTGATTGCAAAGTGAAGCCTTTATTGGTGTATCACTCTGAAACTCCCAGAGTGTTCAGGAAAAACAATGTCCTCAAGGCTAATTTGTGTGTGCTGTGGAGGGCAAACAGTAAGGCATGGGTCACTAGGGACTTTTTCTATGACTGGTTACACCATGCATTTGCCCCCACTGTGAAAAATTACCTAATTGAAAAGAAATTAGACCTTAAGTGCCTCCTGGTATTAGACAATGCTCCTGGTCATCCTTCAGACGTGGCAGAGCGACTTTCTGTGGAAATAAGCTTCATTAAAGTAAAGTTTTTGCTTCCTAATACCACTCCTCTCCTGCAGCCCATGGACCAGCAGATAATTTCCAACTTCAAGAAACTGTACACAAAAGCTATGTTTGAAAGGTGCTTTGTAGTGACCTCAGAAACTCAATTGACTCTAAGAGAGTTTTGGAGAGATCACTTTAGCATCCTCAATTGTGTAAACATTATAGGTAAGGCTTGGGAGGAAGTGACTAAGAGGACCTTGAACTCTGCTTAGAAGAAACTGTGGCCAGAATGTGTAGACAAAAGGGATTTTGAAGGGTTTGAGGCTAACCCTGGGAATCCTATGCCAGTTGAGGAATCCACTGTGGCATTGGGGAAGTCCTTGGGGTTGGATGTTAGTGGGGAGGATGTGGAAGAGTTGGTGGAGGAGGACAATGAAGAACTAACCACTGATGAGCTGCTAGATCATCTTCAACAGCAAGAGGCCACACCTGAGGAAACTGCTTCAGAGGAGGGGATAGAGAAATTGAGGAAGTTGCCTACTTCAAAGACTAAGGAAATGTGTGCAATGTGGCTTAAAGTGCAAACCTTTTTTGATGAAAATCACCCTCACACAGCTATTGCAAGCCATGCTGGTGACTATTACACTGACAATGTTGTGAAACACTTTAGGAATGTCAAAAAGGAACAGGAGGTACAGGCCTCTATGGACAGAGATGTTGTGCGACAGAGGTCCAGTGACTCTCAAGCTGGTCCTAGTGGCATTAAAAGAAGAAGGGAAGTAACCCCAGAAAAGGACTTGCCACCTCAAGTCCTAATGGAAGGGGATTCCCCTTCTAAACACTAACACCATCAACACTCTCCCCTCCTCCCATCCCATCAATCATCACAATCTTCAATAAAGGTAAGTGTCATGTAACTGCATTTCTTCAGTTTGTGTGTATTAAAATTAATATTTCATGTGGTAAAAATTTTTTTTTGTTCATACTGTGGGGTGTCAGGAACGGATTAATTTGATTTCCATTATTTCTTATGGGGAAAATTAATTCGCCTAATGATAATTTCGCCTAACGTTGAGCTCTCAGGAACGGATTAATAGCGTTAGGCGAGGGTCCACTGTATATGTTTTTTATGGAGTTACAGCTATAGTACACAACTAAAGAGATAACTTTAACTCTTAGAGATAAATTTATTTTGATACCTCATAGCATGAACTTGCAATCTATATAAATGTCCCCAGTTGTTTGTACAATGTTAAAATTATTATGTCCCCAGTTGTTTGTACAATGTTAAAATTATTATAAATGTCCCCAGTTGTTTGTACAATGTTAAAATTATTATGTCCCCAGTTGTTTGTACAATGTTAAAATTATTATAAATGTCCCCAGTTGTTTGTACAATGTTAAAATTATTATAAACATTCTACTTACACTTAGGTCACACTACACATACATGTACATGTTTATTTATACACACTCATCTGAGTTTTCTTTGATTTTATCTTAATAGTTCTTGGTCTTATTACTTTTCCTTTTATATCCATGGGGAAGTGGAATAAGAATCTTTCCTCCGTAAGCCATGCGTGTTGTAAAAGTCAACTAAAATGCCGGGAACAATGGGCTAGTAACCCCTTTTCCTGTAAAGATTACTAAAAAGAATAAAAAGAAAATTGTCAAAGTGGGAAGTCTGAATGTGCGTGGTTGTTGTGCAAATGATAAGAAAGAGATGATTGTGGTGTTTATGAATGAGAAGAAACTGGATGTCCTGGCTTTAAGTGAAACAAAGCTGAAGGGGGTGGGAGAGTTTCAATGGAGAGGAATAAATGGGATTAGGTCAGGGGTTTCAAATAGAGTTAGAGCTAAAGAAGGAGTAGCAATAATGTTGAAGGATAAGCTATGGCAGGAAAAGAGGGACTACAAATGCATAAATTCAAGGATTATGTGGAGTAAAATAAAGATTGGATGTGAAAAGTGGGTTATAGTAAGTGTGTATGCACCTGGAGAAGAGAGAAGTGTAGAGGAGAGAGAGAGATTCTGGGAAATGTTGAGTGAATGCGTGGGGAGTTTTGAATCAAGTGTGAGAGTAATGGTGGTTGGGGATTTCAATGCTAAAGTGGGTAAAAATGTTATGGAGGGAGTAGTAGGTAAATTTGGGGTGCCAGGGGTAAATGTAAATGGGGAGCCTTTAATTGAGCTATGTGTAAAAAGAAATTTGGTAATAAGTAATACATATTTTATGAAAAAGAGGATAAATAAATATACAAGGTATGATGTAGCACGTAATGAAAGTAGTTTGTTAGATTATGTATTGGTGGATAAAAGGTTGATGGGTAGGCTCCAGGATGTACATGTTTATAGAGGGGTAACTGATATATCAGATCATTATTTAGTTGTAGCTACAGTTAGAGTAAGAGGTAGATGGGAAAAGAGGAAGGTGGCAACAACAAGTAAGAGGGAGGTGAAAGTGTATAAACTAAGGGAGGAGGAAGTTCGGGCGAGATATAAGCGACTATTGGCAGAAAGGTGGGCTAGTGCCAAGATGAGTAGTGGGGGGGGTTGAAGAGGGTTGGAATAGTTTTAAAATGCAGTATTAGAATGTGGGGCAGAAGTTGTGTGGTTATAGGAGGGTGGGGGCAGGAGGAAAGAGGAGTGATTGGTGGAATGATGAAGTAAAGGGTGTGATAAAAGAGAAAAAGGTAGCTTACGAGAGGTTTTTACAAAGCAGAAGTGTTATAAGAAGAGCAGAGATATATGGAGAGTAAAGAAAGTGAAGAGAGTGGTGAGAGAGTGCAAAAGGAGAGCTGATGAAAGAGTGGGAGAGGCACTGTCAAGAAATTTTAATGAAAATAAAAAAAATTTTGGAGTGAGTTAAACAAGTTAAGAAAGCCTAGGGAAAGTAGTGGCTTTGTCCATTAAAAACAGAGTAGGGGAGTTAGTAGATGGGGAGAGGGAGATATTAGGTAGATGGCGAGAATATTTTGAGGAACTTTTAAATGTTGAGGAAGAAAGGGAGGCGGTAATTTCATGCACTGGCCAGGGAGGTATACCATCTTTTAGGAGTGAAGAAGAGCAGAATGTAAGTGTGGTGGAGATACGTGAGGCATTACGTAGAATGAAAGGGGGTAAAGCAGCTGGAACTGATGGGATCATGACAGAAATGTTAAAAGCAGGGGGGGATATAGTGTTGGAGTGGTTGGTACTTTTGTTTAATAAATGTATGAAAGAGGGGAAGGTACCTAGGGATTGGCAGAGAGCGTGTATAGTTCCTTTATATAAAGGGAAAGGGGACAAAAGAGATTGTAAAAATTATAGAGGAATAAGTTTACTGAGTATACCAGGAAAAGTATACGGTAGAGCTATAATTGAAAGAATTAGAGGTAAGACAGAATGTAGAATTGCGGATGAGCAAGGAGGCTTCAGAGTGGGTAGGGGATGTGTAGATCAAGTGTTTACATTGAAGCATATATGTGAACAGTATTTAGATAAAGGTAGGGAAGTTTTTATTGCATTTATGGATTTAGAAAAGGCATATGATAGAGTGGATAGAGGAGCAATGTGGCAGATGTTGCAAGTTTATGGAATAGGTGGTAAGTTACTAAATGCTGTAAAGAGCTTTTATGAGGATAGCGAGGCTCAGGTTAGGGTGTGTAGAAGAGAGGGAGAATACTTCCCGGTAAAAGTAGGTCTTAGACAGGGATGTGTAATGTCACCATGGTTGTTTAATATATTTATAGATGGGGTTGTAAAAGAAGTAAATGCTAGGGTGTTCGGGAGAGGGGTGGGATTAAATTATGGGGAATCAAATTCAAAATGGGAATTGACACAGTTACTTTTGCTGATGATACTGTGCTTATGGGAGATTCTAAAGAAAAATTGCAAAGGTTAGTGGATGAGTTTGAGAATGTGTGTAAAGGTAGAAAGTTGAAAGTGAACATAGAAAAGAGTAAGGTGATGAGGGTATCAAATGATTTAGATAAAGAAAAATTGGATATCAAATTGGGGAGGAGGAGTATGGAAGAAGTGAATGTTTTCAGATACTTGGGAGTTGACGTGTCAGCGGATGGATTTATGAAGGATGAGGTTTATCATAGAATTGAGGGAAAAAAGGTGAGTGGTGCGTTGAGGTATATGTGGAGTCAAAAAACGTTATCTATGGAGGCAAAGAAGGGAATGTATGAAAGTATAGTAGTACCAACACTCTTATATGGATGTGAAGCTTGGGTGGTAAATGCAGCAGCGAGGAGACGGTTGGAGGCAGTGGAGATGTCCTGTCTAAGGGCAATGTGTGGTGTAAATATTATGCAGAAAATTCGGAGTGTGGAAATTAATAGAAGGTGTGGAGTTAATAAAAGCATTAGTCAGAGGGCAGAAGAGGGGTTGTTGAGTTGGTTTGGTCATTTAGAGAGAATGGATCAAAGTAGAATGACATGGAAAGCATATAAATCTATAGGGGAAGGAAAGAGGGGTAGGGGTCGTCCTTGAAAGGGTTGGAAAGAGGGGGTAAAGGAGGTTTTGTGGGCGAGGGGCTTGGACTTCCAGCAAGCGTGCATGAGCGTGTTAGATAGGAGTGAATGGAGACGAATGATACTTGGGACCTGACGATCTGTTGGAGTGTGAGCAGGGTAATATTTAGTGAAGGGATTCAGGGAAACCGGTTGTTTTCTTATAGTCGGACTTGAGTCCTGGAAATGGGAAGTACAATGCCTGCACTTTAAAGGAGGGGTTTGGGATATTAGCAGTTTGGAGGGATATGTTGTGTATCTTTATACGTATATGCTTCTAAACTGTTGTATTCTGAGCACCTCTGCAAAAGCAGTGATAATGTGTGAGTGTGGTGAAAGTGTTGAATGATGATGAAAGTATTTTCTTTTTGGGGATTTTCTTTCTTTTTTGGGTCACCCTGCCTCGGTGGGAGACGACCAACTTGTTGAAAAAAAAAAAAAATTAAAAAAAGGAAGAAAAAAAAAATATGCAAGTAGTATGGTAAATATAATATACAGCATACACATACAAAAACAGGACACAGCTCTAGGGTGTCCTGGTAGTATATTACTGTAACTGGCCATGACTGTTAATGTAATTAATGTATAGTTGGTTAAAAGATGTTACCCTAACTACTGTATATAGAGAAAATGGCTTAAACATGCAAATACCAACATGGCATTAGATCAGGTTGTCTCTACAGGCTTTACTATGCTCACACGCTTAACAGTGTGTCATATCCCAAAGACTACTCCCCTCAATTCCAATGTTCCCACATGGATGTTGTGACCACTTCCTCAGACATTCCCTACACAATATTTAATCCTTAGATCTTTACACAATTTTAAGTAATCTGTCTTGTGCAATGCTTTCTACATAAAACCATCTCAAAAGCCCCTCGTCTACCTTTTTTTTTTTTAACAGGATTTTACAAAGTTAGGTTAAGGCTTCCTAATTTTATTTACAAGCTAAGAGCTGTTACCTTCATCAGCTCATTTAAAACTGCTTTTAAATTAAATCTTTCAGTTAATCCCATAACATAGTCTTCTAATTTCTTCATTCATTTTCTGCATAACATCTCACACCATACACTGATTACAGCCCCATTTTATTGGCTCCAATTTCCTGCTTGTTGCAATATGTAAAGATCCTTGTTTTTATGTAACAGATAATCATTCTAAATTTATATATTATATAATACCAAGATCAACATATAAAACTCAAATTATTTAACACTTTCAGGGTCCGTGCCGTAGATCTACGGCTTTATGTTCAGGGTCTAAACCGTAGATCTACGCCATGAGCTCAGCTCACTCTGATAAGCTGTGAGTGGTAAATTTGGGCCTGGATATGAGAGAATACATCTATGTGGTATGTGTGCACCACATAAAACAAATCCTGCAGCACACAGTGTATAATGAGAGAAAAAAAAACTGAGACCGTGATTTTCGATTAAAATAGCGACTTTGCAGTGTTTTTTCGTATGTTTTTTATAGTTGTATTTACGATTTCTTGGTCTCCTTTGATAGAATGGAAGACATATTACAGAAATAGAGATGATTTTGATTGGTTTTAGCACTGGAAATGGCTTGAAACTGAGCTCAAAGTAGCGGAAATGTTAAATTTTTGCCGATGTTCAAGAGTAAACAAACGATCTCACACGTCTAATACACGCCTGCTGGTGGGTCTAATATACGTTCACAAATGTGGTGATGATATTTAAACAATTATTACAATATTGCATAGTAGTAAATCTATTTTTTGGTTTGAATAAAAATTCATTATGTGAATAAAAAATCAAAATGGAATTAATTTGTAAAGCCTCAAAGCGTAATTAATGAACAGAGGAAATGTTAGTTTAGTGCCAGGAATACCTACATTGTTTATTCTGGACCCTATTTTGAAATTGGAATGTTTTTAACTTTGTGTTAAATTGGCCAAATAACCAATTTTCGATCACTTTATTTTGTAGTTGAAACAGTTGACTGGGCGATTTCTTGTGCTCAATCGATAGAATAGAAGTAATACTAGTGAAATAGCTTAGAATTTGGTTGACTGGAATAATGTGACTGACCTAAAATGGGAGTCAAAGTCAGCAAAATCGCCGATTTGTAAATATCGCTGACACATCAAAATTCGCGAGAGCATAATTTCTTCAATTTTCCATCAAATTTCGTACTTTTTCTTGTATTACCTTCAGAAAAAGATTCTCTACCATTTCATAAGAAAAAATAACAAAAATTTTTTTTTTAAATTCTTGGACCCTAGTGTGCACTTTGAAATTTGGCCTCTGGACCCTGAAAAGGTTAAACACACTTATGTGTTTTCAACATTACAGGCTGTATCAACAACCCATGTAAAAAAAAAATCTTATGACATGCTTTGAAAGTGAAATATGCAAGAAAAAAAATGGTAATGACATTCCATACTTTATTTAAATAAAAACATGAAGTATTCAGCAATACTTTGCAATGAAAGAATACTTACTCGTAAACTCTCTACACGAGCACTCTCTGGATCACGGCTAACATTTGACAAAACTTTGACACCACTTGTTTTCTGTGAGCGGTCAGCAAGAGAGAGAGTCATCTTGCGATGTGTAAATGAATCAGTTGAATGAGGACGGAAGGTTAGTTTTGTACGAAAAACTGCTTGACCTTGCAGACCAGTTCCTTGACGAATGAAGAGATGGTTGTGGTCTCCCTAATATAAATATATGGATATTATATTATTGCTAGTCAAGGATATCAAGCTTGATATTAGAAATTTAATGAAATTTAAACACTAAGAATCAAATCCTGCAGAGCAAACAAAAGATAAATTTCAAAACAAAGAACACAGTTTACTGATTAATATTAATAGCATTGCTTTCAATATCCTAACGCTGTATTGCATGTATAAATGAATGAATGTCGGGAACAAGGGGCTAGTAACCCCTTCTCGGGTATTTTATTTTATTAACACATCAGCCGTTTCCCACCAAGGCAGGGTGGCCCAAAAAAGAAAAACTTTCATCATCATTCACTCCATCACTGTCTTGCCAGATGGGTGCTTTACACTACAGTTATAAAACTGTAACAGTATCATCCCTCCTGTATCTATTACTAAATTTAAAAGGAGAAACTTTTGTTTTTCCTTTTGGGCCACCCAGCCTCGGTGGGATACAACCGGTGCGTTGAAAGAAAGAAGAAATGAATGAATGTATGTATGATGTGTGAACATGCATGCATGCATGCATGCATGCACGCACGCACGCACGCACGCACGCACGCACGCACACACACACACACACGTACGCACGCACGCACGCACACACGCACACACACGCACACACACACCACACAAACACACACACACACAACACACACACACACACACACACACAAAACAAGCATCATAAATATGCATGTGCCTCAACAAATACATAGAAAACGAGACTGCTCAACATGACCTATTGTTGTAACTATGAAATGTGTGCAAGTTCCTTTTTTTTTTTTTTTTTTTTTTTAACAAGTCGGCCGTCTCCCACCAAGGCAGGGTGACCCAAAAAAGAAAATACTTTCATCATCATTCAACACTTTCACCTCGTTCACACATAATCACTGTTTTTGCAGAGGTGCTCAGAACACAACAGTTTAGAAGCATATACCTATAAAGATACACAACATATCCCTCTAAAGTGCTAATATCCCGAACCCCTCCTTGAGAGTGCAGGCATTGTACTTCTCATTTCCAGGACTCAAGTCCGGCTATATAAAAATATATTTCATAGAATTAACCTTTCTCTTGGTGCAATCCTTGAGCTTCTTAAGACACTGATAAGGCCTATTATGGAGGACAGAAAAGTCAACACCTTGCCACACCTGCTTAATATCAGTCAAGACTTTGAGGTTAGAGGACTAATCCAAGCCACAAAGCTTACTCTTAATAAGTGTCCAAATGTTCTCTATCAGAGTTAAGTTAATTCTTTGTCTTTGTGAGTATGGCATGGGGCACCATCTTCCATACAAATGTTGCTCAGAAACTGACTGAATCTGTCAGACAACCAGTTTGCTAAAGGCATACCTATGGGTGGGCATATTTATGACAACTAATGCATATGCATACACGTGAAAATTCCTGCTTATCTAACAGAACAGTCTTTGAGCTATATAGACAATGATATAGATGGGAAAATACAGTGCCTGAAATATAGGAGACAATCAGGTTTGATCCAAGGAAGGGTGAGGTGACTCCTATTCCTTGGTTAAGACCCTTAACCAACATCAAGGCATCCCCCATGATGAAAAAATATACACAAAAATTTAGAAACTAACCTGCAGAGGTTGTTTATAGACATCAAAGATTTCATTACCAAGATGAAGAGACATAGATCCATCAGACCATCGAACCAACTTGGCATTACTCTCTTTAACAGCATTCCCCTCCTTATCAAAAACAGTCCTCCATCTCAATGTGTTTTCAACTTTCAGCTTCAGCCTGTATATAATCAAGGGCATTAAGTATCAGCAATTATTATGTTTAAACAATATTTGTGTTCTCTGCTGTCTAAATCTAATGTTCTTTTAACATATTTTACATCAATAATTTCCATACACGTCACCAGCATGCTCAATAGGCAACAGTTAAAATCAGCACTCCTACTGCTGCACTAACCAGTAACTCACGTTTGTAAACCAACAGCCCAGGTTACCTCAGGGCAACATGAGTTGACACCTATATCACATGATTTTCAGGTCTAAAAACCTACTGCCAGCTCACTTCATATCCCCACAGAAATTACCATTCTTAATGAGTCTGCCAAACAGAAGACTTCAAACAATGTTGAAGTGTGTGATGGCAGTCACTAAAAACAAGTGCAATTGATTCTCACCTTGCTCGTCCCTCTTCATCAAGTGTCTCTTCCTCATCAATTTCATCTTCATAAAGTTCTGGATCAAACGGTCTTGTCTCAACCGAAAGGAAGTTTGGTAACTTCACAAAATGTATATCCCTGCCTAAATCAGTGTTAATTTTTGGAATCTCTGCTTCAATTCTTGTTTCTGGTGGAGGGCCCTCATCTTCCTTCTCTTCATCCTAATAGAGTAGGATCAAAATAAAAACAAATTAAATCTGGATACCTATCTTATACAAGGAGACTTCTAACATTTACCATTAGTGTTTATACAGTGCAGTATATGGAAAAACTGATATTTGTCTTCACATTACTACAAAATTAACACATTTTATGTATCATACAAGGTACTCTGGGAGGAAGGGGCTGGTAACCCCTTCTCCTATATACAGTAGGGCCCTGCTTTATGGTGTTCCGCCTTACAGCATTCCACTAACATGGCGATTTCAAATTATGACCAAAATTTGCTATAAGGCATGTAGTCTTTCAAATACGGCGCACCCCACCCCGTTTCTTTACATTCTCCGTGAGCACATCTATTATGTCTGGAAACTTGCCAAAATTTCAAGTGTTTTCAAGTTATTGTGTATTTTATATGTACTCTGATAATTAAGCTTATGTGTACCTGTACCTAAATATACTTACACACTGTGCTGGCATGTAGGTACACATTAAAATTACTAAGAGTCTCTCTACTCATGACGCCACAGAAATACTACGTAATAATAATCTCTCTTGGGCACATTAAATGTCTTATTTTACGTTAATATAGACATTTTCATTACTCCATCTATGATATTTTCTTCAAAATTATATAAGAAACACATTACATAGCATATAAACATTATACATACACCCACAGAATAAAAACTGACATAAGTATGAGATTTGTTTACAAAGCGACAGTGTAGGAGTGTCGGAAGAATTACGTTTTCTCTAGTCAAACACTGGGGATAACTGTAGATAAATATTCCTTTCGTATGCCTTCACTCTATATATAGCAATTCATGACCCTTGTGGGTTAATGCTTCTATTTTTATTATGATTATAATAATAATAATTTGTGAAGAAGAAGAAGAAGAAGAAGAAGAAGAAGAAGAAGAAGAAGAAGAAGAAGAAGAAGAAGTAAGAGAAGAGAGATGATGATGATGATGATGATGATGATGATGATGATGATGATGATGATGATGATGATGATGATGATGATGATGATGATGATGATGATGATGGATGATGATGATGATGATGATGATGATGATGATGATGATGATGATGATGATGATGATGATGATGATGATGATGTGATGATGTTGATGATGATGATGATGATGATGATGATGATGATGATGATGATGATGATGATGATGATGATGATGATGATGATGATGATGATGATGATGATGATGTTGATGATGATGATGATGATGATGATGATGATGATGATGATGATGATGATGATGATGATGATGATGATGATGATGATGATGATGATGATGATGATGATGATGATGTCAGAGCATCATTCCTTCTAAAAATTACATGAGAATGAAAGTCTTGGTCTTTAAATAATCTACTGTACCACTGTGGAGACAACTTGTACACAATGTACGGTGTTTGTATGAATGTTTATGAACCATAACCAGATGCATCATCTGTTTGTTTACATAGTGGGTGGGGTAGCCAGGCTGGCTTCCCTACACTACTCTACCTACCACACCACTTTCTACAATAAATACTTTTCACCTTTCACCCTACATTAAGACTACAAATAATTTAAGGTAAGTAATGAGTGTACTGTATATGCATGTAATCACTCTCTGGGGCTTTAAGCATTGTCGTAGTATATTATGTGTGGGTTGGGTGGCCAGGAGGGCTACCATACCTAACTTCTTACAGTAAATACTACTCACCTTTTGCCCTACATTAAGACTACAAATATTTTGAGATACTGTGTGTGTATTTTACTTTTTAATTCCTAGTTCTATTGCTAACTTAACCCTTTGACTGTCGCGGGCGTATATATACGTCTTACGAGGTACCGTGTTTGACGTATATATACTCATAAATTCTAGCGGCTTCAAATCAAGCAGGAGAAAGCTGGTAGGCCCACATGTGAGAGAATGAGTGTGTGTGGTCAGTGTGCACCATATAAAAAAAATCCTGGAGCACGCAATGCATAATGAGAAAAAAAAACTACGACCATTTTTTTTAATTAAAATGCCAACTTTGTGGTCTATTTTCGTATAGTATTTATGGTTGTATTCTCATTTTCTTGGTCTCATTTGATAGAATGGTAAACATACTATAGAAATAGAGGTGATTTTGATTGATTTTACTATAAAAAGAACCTGGAAATGGAGCTCAAAGTAGGGGAAATGTTTGATTTTTGCCAATGTTCAAAAGTAAACAAATGATGTCATTGTCCAATAAATGTCCAACTAGCCATTCTAATATGCAGTCATGAATAGGTTGATGTTATTTATACAATTATTACCGTATTGCAGTAGTCTGCATAATAGTAAGTCTTCTATTTTTTGTTTCAATAAAAATTCAAAATAGAAAGCAAGAGTAGTATCAGAGGGGCCTGGAGACATGACTGATGAACAAAGAAAATGTTATTTTAGAGCCAGGAATGTCTGCATTGTTCATTCTGGACCTTATTTTGAAATTGTCATATTTTTTAATTTTCGTGAAATTGGCCAAATTGCAAATTTCTGACCACATTATTGGGTAGTTGAAATCGGTAAATGGGCAGTTTCTTGTACTCAATCGATAGAAAAAATGGAGTTCTAAAGAAATAGCTATGAGTTTGGTCGACTGGAACAACGGAATTAGCCAAAAATAGGGCTCAAAGTGGGCGAAATCGCCGATTTGTAAATATCGCCGAGGTCGCTAACTTCGCGAGAGCATAATTCCGTCAGTTTTCCATCAAATTTCGTTTTTTTTGGTGTCATTACAATCGGGAAAAGATTCTCTATCATTTCATAAGAAAAAATAATTTTTTTTTTTTTTAAATTTTGCGACACCAGGAGACACCTCAGGATTGGGGGTTGCGACAGTCAAGGGGTTAATATATGTTAGTGTAAACTTGTTATCTGGCATTTATATGCATTTACAAGTGGAAAAAAAAGGCATTCTACTTTTTGGCGATATCTGCTTTCTGGCAGTAGCCTGGAACTTAACCTGCCGTATAAGTGGCGCCCTACTGTACATTACTAAAGCTAAAAAGACAAACTTTTCTTTTTCTTTTTGGGCTACCCTGCCTAGTGGGATAAAGCCAGTGCATGAAAGAAAGAAGACATCTTTACACTGTTCATAAAATTCATTTAAATTTAAACACAGATAAGAAAATTTTCTTACATCAGGTACAGCATGTCTTGGTGAACGTGATTGAGAACGAGATCGAGATTTTGACCGTGATCTCGAGCGTGACCTTGATCGTGATCTTGACCGTGAACGAGACCGTGACCTCGAGCGACGTCGGTCAGCATCAGTCTCACTCTGTCTACCTTTTTCATCGTCTTCACTGATGTCATCAGCATCACCAAACAAATCTTCTGCATTAACATCTACAACAGGAAAAAATAGTTATCCTCACATATATCACTGTTTTAAAATATGATAATCACATCCATCAACAAAATCATGTATTTGTGCAAACATGACCTTGATTACTTATATGTATTTATTAACCCTTAAACTGTCCAAACGTAGATCTACGTTTGTGCGCGTAGTGCTCCGACCTTAATTTTCTCCATAAGAAACAATGTAAAAAAAGCATAGATCTATGTTCGGAGTGCTACGCGTGCAAACGTAGATCTACGTTTGGACAGTTTAAGGGTTAAGGATGACAAAAGGTAGAATAAAGTTTGAGAAAACACCATTAAAATATACAAAAGTCTTCTTAAAGACAACAGAATCTCCTTTTAAGGCATCACAGTTTATATACGTTTACTTGTCAAATGACTGCCAGCAGCTTTACTCTCATTCATATAGAAAGATCAGTACACCCACCCTTTCAGCTAACTGAATTTATCAATCTGTCAACAGTATCATTTAACTTTGCTTATATAGCACATACAGGTACAGCTTTTTTTTCAACACGTCGGCCGTCTCCCACTGAAGTAGGGTGACTCAAAAAAGAAAGAAAACACTTTCACCATCATTCACACAATCACTGTCTTTGCAGAGGTGCCCAGATATAATAGTTTAGATGTCACTCCAAACAGCCAATATCTCAAACCCCTCCTTTAAAGGTACAGTATTCATGTATATCTCATGACATTTAGGTTACATTCCTGAAAATCTTTCCCCTATTTAAAAAAAAAAAGGTTATGTGAAGCAAAGAACATTTTAGAAATTAGAGTTACATTTCTGACAGTTGCAAATTTACTGAAGTTGTTACTGCTCTATCATTGCTTGTGAACATAGAATCAGTAGGTATCAGTAGCTGAAGGTTGTACTGGAGTGTTCACACAATGGCAACACCAAGAGAAAGGGGGCTTAAGCTCCCATAATTTCCTTCAGCTCCCCAAAGCCTTGTCCCCCTCCATGATGAAAATAAATGTTTTTCAACTTTTGCCTGGTTAATACTGCAGCATGTGACATGTAGTTTTTCTGACCTGTGACTAACAAAAACATATTAGAGGAACATAAGTAGTGATAACAAAACAAGGGCTATTGCAGTTATATCTATAAATTTAAAAGAAGTCAACTCTGAATACTGAAGATATTATTGATAATTCTACTTCCACCCATAATAACTGAAGAAACACACTGTTATAACTTTTCAGTTACCCTCAGCCTCTCAACTGAGAGAAGATTGAAAACAGTAGGGCCCCGCTTTACGGCGTTTCGCCTTACGGCGTTCTGCTAATATGGCGATGTTAAATTATGACCAAAATTTGCTATACGGCAAGCGGTCTTTCAAATATGGCGCACCCCACCTGGTTTGTTTACATTCTCCGTGACCGCATCTATTATGTCTGGAAACTTTACAAAATTTCAAGTGTTTTACAGTTATTGTGCATTTTATATGTACTCTGATAATTATACTTATGTGTACCTGTACCTAAATATACTTGCACACTGTGCTGGTGTGCAGGTACACATTAAAATCACTAAGTCTCTCTACTCATGACGCCAATAGTACGTAATAATCATCACTCTTGGGCACATTAAATGTCTTTATTTTACATTAATATAGACAATTTCATTAATCCATCTATGATATTTTCCTGAAAATTATATAAGAAACACGTTACATGGCATATAAACATGATACATACATTCACAGAATAAAAATTGATGTAAATATGGTTCATTATAGAACTTCATCCTGTGACAACATTACGTGCACAAGTCCATCAGTAAATCCCATAGTGTGTAGTATTCAAATTTTGTGCCTAATTTGATGCTATGTTGATTTTATTACACTTCACAGTATGTAATATCAAGATTTTTTACCATGTGGTTAAATTTTGGTTGCCTTTTTTCAACTGTATTGTAACAAAATCACACTGTGATACTGCATTTAAAAAGGCTTTACTGTATATGGTACATGTTATTTTTACAAAACAGAAAGCACATATGTATCCCTAATACACAAATTATGCTGTTACTAGATATGCATTCTGGAATAGCTCTTTCCCAATTTTTTTCCCTATCCCCTAATGTATGGTTGATGAAATAATCCTATGCATATCACTAGGGATGAGCCAATTTTTGCCAATAGTGATACTACATTTTAGGCCAATACCAGTACCACCAAAATTAGCCAATATCCTACTGATACCAATACCACCAAAAGTAGCCAAAACCCACTGATAGTACCACTGACAGGAATGAGGGGGTTACATTTTTCCTGATTGTCCATAGATTCCAAATTATGAAAATGAATTTTCATGATCCTAACAGAAATGAACCAAGTTCTGAACCAGTTTTAGTGGCCTCTCAAACCTCTTTGTCATCATCATCATCATCAACATAGCTACCCTGTTCTTTTATGCCAGTACTTATGCCATGAGACCATTCTGCAATTCCTCCATCATTCAACTTCTAGTAACCAGGATCACCATCATCTTCTTCTAACAATGACACTGCATCTTTCTCCATAACTTGTTTCTCCCAACCTCTGAAGAGTACACTGGAAATCAGTAACCTCAAAGTCCAACTCAGTATCAAGGTTATTTAAAAAATTCCAACCATTTGCTAATGTTGTCCTTTTCAGTTCTTTCCATAACACTGCAAAGCTGAAGATAGCAAACCTCAGGTAATATTTTATGACGTTCTCCATCATACGTAGACCTCTGATATCTCTTTCCAAATCTTCTTCAATTACTACCAGTACTTTATCTGAGTACCTAGATTGGTACAGCCTCTTGCAGACTGCAATAACCCCATGACCCACAAAGGGAGATGGTATTAGGGGGCAGAAATATGGCCTTAATTTTACCATTTGTGCTGCTTAAATTGTTAGCCCTCAGGTGAGGACCTTAACTTTGATGAGTTCCGAGTTTTTCTACTCCCGGAGTCCGGCCATAGGCCAGGCTTGTCTGGTGTATGCCTAGTCAACCAGACTTGCTGCTGGTGACCCCTGACCCACATACCCATCACAGCCTGACATCCTTGGTATCTAGCTTAAATACCTCTAGTTGGTGCTTGTGTAATTCAGGGATGAAACATGTAAAAAAACAAATCACTAATTACATCCCTGTAAAACCAGCCTTTCTAATTGCTGAAATAATTTACTAGCAAATCACTCGTGCAGTTCTTTAAAGAATGAGGTCATGCTGATTTGCCTGTGACCGTCAGTATCAAATTGTGAGAACCATTAATATAAGCACAGGATAATAATAAGAAGTGGTCTTTGCAGATAATCATCAGCATTATACAGCTGAGATAAAAGGAGCTTCCCACTGCCCATCAGGTCACTTAACATTAATCTGAACAGCTCAACTATGTCCATGGGTGCACTCTTAATCCAGGTAAAATATATGTCATCCATTTTTAGTACAAATGACATCTCATGCATGAATCCACCTACGTTATGTTGTATGTTGTGTGCAGGAACTGTTCTTTCACTTCCAGTACTCATGATATTCAAACAAAAATATCTGTATAGATGTCACTGCAACATCTTGGTTTTTCACACTTGGATGTATTAACCCTTTCACTGTCGGTCCCGTAATATTACGCCAAAGTGCTAGTGGATTCCAATCTTGCAGGGAAAAAGTTGGTAGGTCTACATACGAGAGAGTGGATCTAAGTGGTCAGTGTGTGCAGTATAAAAAAAATCCTGTAGCACACAGTACATGAGAAAAAAAACTCTGACCGTGTTTTTGGCTTAAAACACTGATTTTGCGGTGTATTTTCGTATGGTATTTATGGCTGTATTCTCATTTTTTTGGTCTCATTTGATAGAATGGAAGATATATTACAGAAATGGAGATGATTTTGAATGGTTTACAGACTAAAAGTACCTTGAAATTGAGCTCAAAGTAGCAGAAATGTTCGATTTTTGCCGATGTTCAAGAGTAAACAAATCAAGTCACGCGTCTAATACACATCAACTGGTGGGTCTAATATGCCTTCACAAATGCGCTGATATTATTTATACCATTTTTACAATAGTGCAGTAGTCTGCATAACAGTAAATCTTCTATTTTTTGTGTGAATAAAAATTCAAAATGGAAAGCAAGCATAATTGCAATAACATTGCAAGCTTTACAAGGAAATAAACATTTTGTTTTGATTTTAATATGAGGGGCCTGGAGACGTGACTACTGAACAGAGAAAAATGTTATTTTAGTGCTAGGAATGTTTGTATTGTTAATTCTAGACCCTATTTTGAAACTAGCCTTACTTTAATTATGTATGAAGTTGGCCAAATTACCAATTTCTGATCACTTTATTGGGTAGTTGAAATCTGTAAATGAAGGTTTCCTGTACTCATTCGATAGAACAAATGAAGTTCTAGCGAAATAGCTATGAGTTTGGTTGACTGGAACAATGGAATTGGCTGAAAATAGGGCTCAAATTGGGCGAAATTGCCGATGCATAAATATCGCTGACCGCTAACTTTGCAAGAGCATAATTCCATAAGTTTTCCATCAAATTTCATACTTTTGGTGTCGTTACCATCAGGAAAAGATTCTCTATCATTTCATAAGATTTTTTTTTTTTTTAAATTCTTCAACATTGAAAGCAAGATTGTGAGCAGGGTCTCGACAGTGAAAGGGTTAACTTATCACTAAGCAGCAAAGTGAATGATACACAAGAACAACTACATCACTTACCATTCATCTCATCATCAGATCTGGCTTTCTTTGCCACATCCTCGTCTGAATCATCGCTCAGAAGAGCACGTTTGCGTTTCCTGAAAATAATGAACATTAAACACCTAAGCTTCAAAATGTTATATAACACTAATTCCACAATTATACTATTTTCAATCACTGTTCACATAGTGAATCAGTACTATTCATAAAAATATTCATGTTTCAGAATGGATGATTCTTGGACATTATGTAACAACTGCTAAACAATTCCATTATGTCTGTTTTAAGCAAAAATTTGGTTCATTAAAATATTCATTTTAATTAAGAGTTGAAGGTAGTCAGCTTTTATCATTAGAGGTATGCCGGTACTTCCGGCCCGGGTCTTCTCCATATGGTGACCCGGCTAATCAGCTTTTATCTATGAAAAAAAACAACTTTATCTCCAAGAATAAAACTTTCGTCAAAGTTTTGAACCTGTAATATTTGGAGGGGTATACATATTTAATTCTTTATTATTCTTAAGAGCAAAAATTTAGTCCACATCCATATTCAATAATACTATTGTTATACCATTTTTAGTTTTGTGAATTTCTAGGCACAACAAACACCTTTTAAAGCAAACTCTTGATTTAAGACTAACAGAGAGGAATGTGTGGATGTACTAATAATGGGCAACTCTGTAATCAATAGACTTTGTCCATTATTTCCATATCAACTGACCCAGTGGATTTTGTATTTCCAAAGTCCAATAAATCAAGGTCTGTTGAATTGAGGATTTACTGCATGCTTAAATTAGGATTTATTTATTCTAGGTATATACTTTAGAACATTTTTTTATGTAAAGGAAGGGGTAGCAGTAATGTTGAATGATCAGTTATGGAAGGAGAAAAGAGAATATGAATGTGTAAATTCAAGAATTATGTGGATTAAAGTAAAGGTTGGATGCGAGAAGTGGGTCATAATAAGCGTGTATGCACCTGGAGAAGAGAGGAATGCAGAGGAGAGAGAGAGATTTTGGGAGATGTTAAGTGAATGTATAGGAGCCTTTGAACCAAGTGAGAGAGTAATTGTGGTAGGGGACCTGAATGCTAAAGTAGGAGAAACTTTTAGAGAGGGTGTGGTAGGTAAGTTTGGGGTGCCAGGTGTAAATGATAATGGGAGCCCTTTGATTGAACTTTGTATAGAAAGGGGTTTAGTTATAGGTAATACATATTTTAAGAAAAAGAGGATAAATAAGTATACAAGATATGATGTAGGGCGAAATGACAGTAGTTTGTTGGATTATGTATTGGTAGATAAAAGACTGTTGAGTACACTTCAGGATGTACATGTTTATAGAGAGGCCACAGATATATCAGATCACTTTCTAGTTGAAGCTACACTGAGAGTAAAAGGTAGATGGGATACAAGGAGAATAGAAGTATCAGGGAAGAGAGAGGTGAAGGTTTATAAACTAAAAGAGGAGGCAGTTAGGGTAAGATATAAACAGCTATTGGAGGATAGATGGGCTAATGAGAGCATAGGCAATGGGGTCGAAGAGGTATGGGGTAGGTTTAAAAATGTAGTGTTAGAGTGTTCAGCAGAAGTTTGTGGTTACAGGAAAGTGGGTGCGGGAGGGAAGAGGAGCGATTGGTGGAATGATGATGTAAAGAGAGTAGTAAGGGAGAAAAAGTTAGCATATGAGAAGTTTTTACAAAGTAGAAGTGATGCAAGGAGGGAAGAGTATATGGAGAAAAAGAGAGAGGTTAAGAGAGTGGTGAAGCAATGTAAAAAGAGAGCAAATGAGAGAGTGGGTGAGATGTTATCAACAAATTTTGTTGAAAATAAGAAAAAGTTTTGGAGTGAGATTAACAAGTTAAGAAAGCCTAGAGAACAAATGGATTTGTCAGTTAAAAATAGGAGAGGAGAGTTATTAAATGGAGAGTTAGAGGTATTGGGAAGATGGAGGGAATATTTTGAGGAATTGTTAAATGTTGATGAAGATAGGGAAGCTGTGATTTCGTGTATAGGACAAGGAGGAATAACATCTTGTAGGAGTGAGGAAGAGCCAGTTGTGAGTGTGGGGGAAGTTCGTGAGGCAGTAGGTAAAATGAAAGGGGGTAAGGCAGTAAGGCAGCCGGGATTGATGGGATAAAGATAGAAATGTTAAAAGCATGTGGGGATATAGTTTTGGAGTGGTTGGTGCAATTATTTAATAAATGTATGGAAGAGGGTAAAGTACCTAGGATTGGCAGAGAGCATGCATAGTTCCTTTGTATAAAAGCAAAGGGGAAAAAAGAGAGTGCAAAAATTATAGGGGGATAAGTCTGCTGAGTATACCTGGTAAAGTGTATGGTAGAGTTATTATTGAAAGAATTAAGAGTAAGACGGAGAATAGGATAGCAGATGAACAAGGAGGCTTTAGGAAAGGTAGGGGGTGTGTGGACCAGGTGTTTACAGTGAAACATATAAGTGAACAGTATTTAGATAAGGCTAAAGAGGTCTTTGTGGCATTTATGGATTTGGAAAAGGCGTATGACAGGGTGGATAGGGAGGCAATGTGGCAGATGTTGCAAGTGTATGGTGTAGGAGGTAGGTTACTGAAAGCAGTGAAGAGTTTTTACGAGGATAGTGAGGCTCAAGTTAGAGTATGTAGGAAAGAGGGAAATTTTTTCCCAGTAAAAGTAGGCCTTAGACAAGGATGTGTGATGTCACCGTGGTTGTTTAATATATTTATAGATGGGGTTGTAAGAGAAGTAAATGCGAGGGTCTTGGCAAGAGGCATGGAGTTAAAAGATAAAGAATCACACACAAAGTAGGAGTTGTCACAGCTGCTCTTTGCTGATGAGACTGTGCTCTTGGGAGATTCTGAAGAGAAGTTGCAGAGATTGGTGGATGAATTTGGTAGGGTGTGCAAAAGAAGAAAATTAAAGGTGAATACAGGAAAGAGTAAGGTTATGAGGATAACAAAAAGATTAGGTGATGAAAGATTGAATATCAGATTGGAGGGAGAGAGTATGGAGGAGGTGAATGTATTCAGATATTTGGGAGTGGACGTGTCAGCGGATGGGTCTATGAAAGATGAGGTGAATCATAGAATTGATGAGGGGAGTCTGTTGAAACCAAGAACTTTGTCCTTGGAGGCAAAGAGGGGAATGTATGAGAGTATAGTTTTACCAATGCTCTTATATGGGTGTGAAGCATGGGTGATGAATGTTGCAGCGAGGAGAGGGCTGGAGGCAGTGGAGATGTCATGTCTGAGGGCAATGTGTGGTGTGAATATAATGCAGAGAATTCGTAGTTTGGAAGTTAGGAGGAGGTGCGGGATTACCAAAACTGTTGTCCAGAGGGCTGAGGAAGGGTTGTTGAGGTGGTTCGGACATGTAGAGAGGCTGGAGCGAAACAGAATGACTTCAAGAGTGTATCAGTCTGTAGTGGAAGGAAGGCGGGGTAGGGGTCGGCCTAGGAAAGGTTGGAGAGAGGGGGTAAAGGAGGTTTTGTGTTCGAGGGGCTTGGACTTCCAGCAGGCATGCGTGAGCGTGTTTGATAGGAGTGAATGGAGACAAATGGTTTTTAATACTTGACGTGCTGTTGGAGTGTGAGCAAAGTAACATTTATGAAGGGGTTCAGGGAAACCGGCAGGCCGGACTTGAGTCCTGGAGATGGGAAGTACAGTGCCTGCACTCTGAAGGAGGGGTGTTAATGTTGCAGTTTAAAAACTGTAGTGTAAAGCACCCTTCTGGCAAGACAGTGATGGAGTGAATGATGGTGAAAGTTTTTCTTTTTCGGGCCACCCTGCCTTGGTGGGAATCGGCCAGTGTGATAATAAAAAAAAAAAAAATAAATAGCACCCTACACTACAATAAAAATATCAAGAATAACTGGCAGTTTCCTGCCTCGGTGGGATACAGCCAATTTGTTGACAGAAGAACAGCCAGTTTCATACCTGCCTACATCCAAGTCACTGTCATCATCCGACCCCTTCCTAGATTCAGCATCCCTGCGAGCTGCAAATAGACCATAAATTCAATGATAAAAAAAAACTTTAAACATTCACATACTGCATCTCAGTCTATATACAATAATTATCTAATTAACAGTATCTAACAATAAAGAATGCTTTACCTCTTTTTGCTTCATTATCACTGCCATGAGGTGACCTTGATCGTGATCGAGACCCAGACTTCCGGCTTCCAGTTGGCGACCTCTTTCCTCGGCTGCCTTCTTGGGATGCCCTACTACCAGATCTACTACGACTTCGAGACCCTGCAGGGCTTCTACTACCTGCCCTGGAACTTGGTGATTTGTACCTTCTAGAGTGAGCAGGTGACCTTGGAGACCTGCTGCTGGCCCTTGACTGTAATGGTGATCTGCTGCTGCCTGCCCTGGAGCTAGGAGATTTGGATCCTCTAAACGGAGGTGACCTAGGAGATCTGCTGGCAGCTCTTGATCGCACTGGAGATCTGCTACCAGTTCTTGAATGTACTGATGACCTACTGCCAGTTCTTGATCTAGATATGCTGCCAGTCCTTGATCTTAATGGGGATCTACTGCTTCTTGACCCCACAGGTGATGGGGTCCTGCTTCTACCTCTAGAATATGTTGGTGATCTGCTCCCTCTTTTAGAACCTGCTGGTGTTCTGCTCCTTGCTGGTGACCTGCTTCCTATCCTGGAACCAGCTGGTGATCTACTCTCTGCCCTAGAACCTGCTGGTGATCTACTCCCTGCCCTAGAACCTGGTGACCTGTGCCTTGCCCTAGAACCTGGTGATCTGCTTCCTGTCCAAGATCCTGCTGGTGATTTGCTCCCTGTCCTGGAACCTACTGGTGACCTACTCCTTGTTAGTGACCTCCTCCTTGCTGGTGTCCTGCTCCCTGCTCTTGAACCTGCTGGTGACCTCCTCCTTGCTGGTGTCCTGCTCCCTGCTCTTGAACCTGCTGGTGACCTCCTCCTTGCTGGTGTCCTGCTCCCTGCTCTTGAACCTGCTGGTGACCTCCTCCTTGCTGGTGTCCTGCTCCCTGCTCTTGAACCTGCTGGTGACCTCCTCCTTGCTGGTGTCCTGCTCCCAGCTCTAGAACCTACTGGTGACCTGCTCCTTGCTACTGATCTTGCTGGTGTCCTGCTCCCTGCTCTAGACCCTCCTGGTGACCTCCTTGCTGGTGTCCTGCTCCCTGCTCTAGACTCTGCTGGTGACCTCCTTGCTGGTGTCCTGTTCCCTAATCTAGAACCTGCTGGTGTCTTACTCCCTGCTCGAGAACCTGCTGGTGACCTACTCCCTGTCCTCAATCCCATTGGTGACCTGCTCCCTATCCTAGATCCCACTGGTGACCTGCTTCCAATCCTAGAACCCACTGGTGACCTGCTCCCAATCCTAGAATCCACTGGAGACCTGCTCCATGCCCTAGAACCTGATGGTGTTGTACTATCCACTTTAGATCTAGGTGACCTACTACCTCGAGAAATGGCTGGAGTAAGACTACCAGCAACTGACCTAGATGGAGTTCTACTGGCTGGTGTACCAGACCTACTTCTTTGAGGTGAAATAGATCTACTTCTAGGATGAGAGCCTGACATACTCCTGGGACTTCTCGGAGTCCCACTCCTGCTGCGGTGGCTGCCTGCCGGTGATCGCCCATGACTACGTGGCGAGTCACTGCTCCGACTCAGGGGACTACCTGGTGGTGAATAATTAGTTTTGCTTTGTGGTGATCCACTAGCTCTGCTCCTGGGACTGCCACTGACAGACCTACTCGCGTGGTTCCTTATTGGGGTTCGACTTCTGCTTCGAGATATACTTCTCTTACTGCCAGCTGGTGATGGCGTGCGATTCCCTGAAAGATTAATTTATCCTTTAGTTTATATTTTCAATACAATACATTAAACCCAACATTAATGTAGAACTTTGATAAAATGACTAAAATTAGCATTTCTCCTACAACACTGTAAATTAAAAATTTTGCAATACCTCTGATAACATTTTTCTCCAAAATTTTATTTAAAGTTAAAGACAACATACAGTTTACAGTATCAAAAATGAAGTACAGTAAGTTTTTCTGTTATATGAAAAGATCAACAATTTATACTGCCTGATAAATATTCATCAAACTATATTGTATTAATAACATCTACAATAAATATCATGAAAATCTAAGCATAAAAAAAACGTTACATTTCCAACTACTGTACTCTTTAAAAACACATTTCTGAATGCAATATTTGAAGCATAGAATTTCTCCTCCATAAACCATGCATGTTGTAAGAGGTGACAAAAATGCTAGGAGCAAGGGGCTAGTAACCCCCCTGCTCCTGTATAAATTGCTAAATTTAAAAAGAAACACTTTTGTTTTTCTTTTTTAGGTCGCCCTGCTTTGGTGGGATACAGCCGGTTTGTTAAAAAAAAAAAACAGTACAACAATAAATAAGCTTCACCACATACATTTCCCTTGCATTCTGCATGAAGTTATACCCAAACAAAACATGAGAAAGCATTAACAGAATTTGAAAATACAGGTCAGCCATCGCTAATCAGTAATCCAGTTCCACCAGTAATCCGGTTCCATCAGTAATCCAGCACTAACTTTGGCTAGCATAATTTCAAATTTCCGGGGTTGCCACACCAACCTGCCTTTACTGTTTGGTGGCAGTACTTGCCATTTTTTTTTTCTCCATTTATGTTATAACCTGCTCACTTTTAGTCCTAGCCATGGTTCCAATGAATAAAAGAAATGCTTCTCATTGTGTAAAGCATATACACTGTACATTGTCCATAAAAGATAAGGTAGCTTTGAAGCCGCTGTCAGTCGCCATGAGCTCAGCTCACTCAGATAAGCTGTGACTGGAAATTGGGCCTACATATGAGAGAATAGGTCTGTGTGGTAAGTGGTCTGACTTGGACCATTGACTAGTCACACTGTGACTAGTCAATGGTCCAAGTCAGATCAAAGTGTTATCACAAGCTTCTTTCTCCTATGTATGGGCTATGTGTTCATTGTTCCAGTCATATATTGTGCATGTTTGTTTATTGTATACAGTGAGTAAAACTATTGTAATTTTTAATTCTGTCAACAGCTTACCATAGATAATCAAGAGCAGGAATGCACAACCTTTTCAGTCACCATATATTAATGACTGAAGAAGCTATGCGGTACATGGCTTATACATTGATTAAACCCAGTGGAAGGTATTCAGGGTTGAAAGTCCATGGTATTTTGATATATCTTACACAAGCTATCAAAACCTGCAATTGAGCCACCGAAGTCCACATGCAGCCTGTGCGCCTCTGATTATGCATCCTTGGTCTAAAGGTTTCAAACCACACACACATAAAGCATTAGTAAAAAAAAATAAATTACGGTAAAATTTTGATTTAAAATATCTCCATTTCGTGGATTTCAGAAACAGCAGACAAAATCTGTTGGGTATGGAATTATCCCTTGTTGTTACTTCATGGAGTTGTCAGGTGAAGGCAGATCAGTATGTCTGTGCCCACCGCTTCAGAAGTCTGGTTGTCATTTGATGTTTTCCTTGGACTTAACCCTTTGAGGGTTTCGGACGTACTAGTACGGCTTACGACCCAGGGTTTTTGATGTACTAGTACGCCTAAATTCTAGCGCCCTCAAATCTAGTGGGAGAAAGCTGGTAGGCCTTCATATGAAAGAATGGGTCTATGTGGTCAGTGTGCACAGTCTAAAAAAAATCCTGCAGCACACAGTGCATAATGAGAAAAAAAAAACTTTGACCGTTTTTTTGGAATAAAACAGCAACTTTGCACTGTATTTTCGTATGGTATTTATTGTTGTATTCTAGTTTTCTTGGTCTCATTTTATAGAATGGAAGACATATTACAGAAATTGAGATGATTTTGACTGGTTTTACAATGAAAGATACTTTGAAATTGAGCTCAAAGTAGCAGAAAAGTTCGATTTTTACCAAATTTCAAAAGTAAACAAATCGTGCAAATGGTCCAATACACGTCAACTGGTGAGTCTAATATTCTTTCACAAGTGCGCCAATAATATTTATACCATTTTTTACACTAATGCAGTAGTCTGCATAACAGTAAATCTTATATTTTTTGTGAGAATAAAAATTCAAAGTGGAAAGCAAAAGAATATAAGAGGGGCCTTGAGACATGACTAATGACCAGAGGAAATGTCATTTTAGTGCCAGGAATGTCTTTCTTGTTTATTCTGGACCCTATTCGGAAATTGGCATCTTTTGAAATTTGTATGAAATTGGCAAAATTGCTAAATTCTGACCACTGTATAGTTGAATTTCATAAATGGGTGGTTTCTTGCACCCATTCGATAGAAAAAATGGAGTTCTAGCGAAATATTCATGTTTTTTGTCGACTAGTACAGTGGAATTGGCTGAAAATGGGGCTCAAAGTGGGCAAAATCGCCGATGCGTAAACATCGCCGCGACCGCTAACTTCGCGAGAGCATAATTCCATAAGTTTTTCCATCAAATTTCAAACTTTTGGTGTCCTTATGATCGGGAAAAGATTCTCTATCTTTTCATAAGAGAAAATTATTTTTTTTTTTTTTTAAATTTGGCCGACCCTGAGAATGAGTTTCGGAGAGGGCCTGTCGACCCTCAAAGGGTTAAAGTGTTCATCTGTACTTTTTATAAGATAATGTAGTGTGTGATAGACCTTGGCCTTTAAGCCAAGTGTTGGTGTTCAGAGGAAGACACTAAAAATGGTCAATTGTACAAGGTGTGGATGGTGTTCTCATCAATTACATAGATGTCTCAGACAAGAGAAATGTGTACACCTATTATTAACACTTTCATGCCTTTAAGGAAATTATCACAAGGAAGTAGCATCAACTATCTACAAGTGGGCTAGCAAACATTCAAAGTTCCTCTGATGCATAATAAATTATTCTAAACCACCACTGAATGATCATGGAAAAAAACAATCTTATTTATCCACCACAAATTGGTATGTTAGGTAGTAGGTTGGTAGACAGCAACCACCCAGGGAGGTACTACTGTCCTGCCAAGTGAGTGCAAAATGAAAGCCTGTAATTGTTTTACATGATGGTAGGATTGCTGGTGTCCATTTTTCTGTCTCATAAACATGCAAGGTTTCAGGTACATCTTGCTACTTCTACTTACATTTAGGTCACACTACACATACATGTACAAGCATATATATATATATACACACCCATCTGGGTTTTTTTTTTTTTTTTTTTTTTAACACATAGTTTGACAAGGTTACGGATCCCTAGCTTTATTGACAAGCTATTTACAGGTTAAGGATTCCTAACTTTATTGGCAAGCTAAGAGCTGTTACCTACATCAGCTCATTTGAAAGCATTTTTATGAACAGGATGAAGTTGGAGCCATCTGTGGGCCAGCATTTTCATTTGATCAACTGACTTTATCTCGTTGATATCATTATTCTGTACGAATGTGTTCCATACTCGAGTCATCCTGGGTATGTATGATCTCAGATGGAGTGATGTTCTGGAGAAGGGTACAGCCAGAGTGAAGATGCTGCTTTCTGCCCGTCTTGTGGCATAAAAGCTTGTTTCACGCTCTCCTCGAAGTGGATCCAAGTGTGGTATTTTGACAATATTGGCCTTGTACATAACAGTAAAGCCACCCACATCCCTCCTATGTTGAAGGCTCTGCTGAAATGACAGATCTATCCAGGATGGGTCCAGGCGAGAGATGAGACGTCTTGCTCTGTTCTCTACTCTGTCAAGCAGTTGCAGATGAGAGGGGGGCAGGCAAACCAAGAAAGTGGAGCATACTCAAGGTGTGAGCGTACTTGTGCCTCGTACAGGATCTTGCAACCCCTACTGTCAAGCAGATGCGAGATACGGCGAAGTGCTGTAAGCTACCTGGCTGCCTAGTTTGCAAGATTTACAACATGGTTCTTCATGGTTAGTTTGGAGTCAAATTTCACCCCAAGGATATCAACTTCTTCTCCAGGTGCCAACACCCTCCCATTCATCCTTACTACTGCACCAGCATTACCATCATGGTGCCTAGAGACGATCATCATTTGCATTTTCTCAGGTGCAAATGTTACTTGCCATCTATTTCCCCAAGCTGATATAGCTCTCAGCTGGTAATTGATGTAGCTTAGAGCAGCTGGCATTTCTTCTCTTGGATAAGTGAATGTCAGTGTACAGTCGTCTGCATATGCATGTGATTCTGGGATGAGATGAAGAAGGTCGTTGAAGTAGACATTCCATAACAATGGACCCAGGACGCTTCCTTGTGGAACACTTGCCCCAATAGGATGTCTTGCTGATTCCGTTCCATTGAGAACTACACTTAGAGATCTACCATGAAGGTAATCACTGAGGAGACATAGCATAGAGCCTGCAATTCCCAGTGCATGAAGTTTTGCTAAGAGGCCCTGGTGCCACACCCGGTCGAAAGCGCCAGCAATGTCCAGTGCTACCATACAGCTGACTTTGGATTCATCCAGTGACTGGTGCCACTTAGTGGAGAGGTTTAACAACAGATCAGCAGCAGAGTAACCTTTCCTGAAGCCATATTGACGATCACAAAGTAGTGAGTGGTAGTCAAAAAACTCTGTCATTTGTCTCGAGATTATTGCCTCAAGGATCTTACCAGTGACTGACAGGAGTGACACTGGTCTGTAGTTGCTGATTTCTGCTCTGCTCTTCTTTTTGTGAACAGGGACTACATTTGCCTCTTTCCATAGAGAGGCCCATTTACACTGTACTAGGCAGTGCTGAAAGATGCGAGTTAGAGGTGCTGCTAGCTGGTCTGCACATCTTCTCAACAATCTTGGGCTCAACTTGTCTGGGCCCACAGCCTTTTTTTGGTCAAGCAATTTAAGAAGGAAATGCACCTCCTCCTGCCTTATTGTCACCACTGACAGTTTTGACACAGTTCTTGCAGCTAGCCAAGGAGGGTCCCTTGCTGGATCAGGAACTTGCATTTTGGTAGCAAAGTGTTCAGCAAAGAGGTCCGCCTTCTCTTGACTACTAGTAGAGGTGGTCCCATCCTGTCGATTTAGAGGTGGAATGAGTTCATCAGGCAGATAACCTTGTCTGTTCTTGACCAGGGACCACCAGGTTTTGGAGCCTACCCTACCTGATGCTAGCTTTCTTTTAGTGTCCACCTCCCATTTAGCAATGTCCCACTTTTGAACGTCACCCATATGCCTACAGGCTTGCCTGTGCAAGCTCCTGTTATAGGTGGTAGGATGTCTCTTATACCTTCGCCATGCTTTGTACTTAGCAGTAGCAGCCTCTCTACAACAAAAGCCAAACCAAGGCTGATCTGTAGGCTTCGTTCTTGTTCTTGTTTATTTCCTCTTACCTCCATGGGGAAGTGGAACAGAATTCTTCCTCTGTAAGCCATGCGTGTTGTAAGAGGCGACTAAAATGCCAGGAACAAGGGGCTAATAACCCCTTCTCCTGTATATATTACTAAATGTAAAAGGAGAAACTTTCATTTTTCCTTTTGGGCCACCCCGCCTCGGTAGGATACGGCCGATGTGTTGAAAGAAATTGGTATGTAAATAAAAATACCCTACTGTACTTTTAACTCTTATTTTCAATGTTTCCTATATGTATATGTAAATTTTGTCTATAGTACCATATTATTTGCATATATACTAGTTTTTTTTTTTTTTGCTTTGTTCTTAATTACTGGATATATGACATAGTTAGACACCACCACCACCTACTGGTCCATAAATCAATGTTTTACTGTAAATATGTACTTTCAATAGGTGCATATACTTTTCTGAAATGAATGAAAAACAAACAAAGAATGTCAACATAAATTATTCATGGGTAATAGTCCTAGAATATTCAAGAAAACCAGAATAAATAATTTGCCTTTAACTTACCTGTAGGGGACCTGCTTCCATCTCTGCTACTATCTGGACTGCTACTGCTACTGCTGGAACTCGAGCTGCTCTCCGAGTCAGAATTGTCAGAAGACTCCAATGCATCATCTGTCAGGAGTTCAAAAATTGCTTCAAGTCTACCATTAAATTTCTTATAACACCCTACAGTCAGCAGACAACTTAAATTACACAGTATTATCATAATATGAAGCAAGATATCAAAAATGCGATGAAACAAACTGGCAATGAGCCCTGAGTTCCTGGAAGACAAGTGCCTCAAAATCACTAAACTCTTCCTTAGTTAACATTTTCCTGCCACCTTCATCCAGGATTGTAAAAGGAAAACAAAGAATACTTAACATTCTGAGAGTTGATACTAACAATAATAGCATTTTAGTCGTCCCTACTTCCACAGTGCCTGGGAATTCCTCTAGCTTGCTTAAGCCAGTTACAACGTTGCCACTATCACCTCCACTACTGCCAAAGACACTACTAAGTCTCAAGAGTTAATGCCAGTCCTCAGGACAGTGCAGACATTTACACTGTCTTGTAGTAATTGTAATAAAGTATATGTGGTGATTTTAATAAATATATGTGGGTGAGGCAGCTTGGGATTAGTCTACACATACTACATAAACCAGATATGCTTGCCGCATCAATATCATCATCAAAGCCTGTGTTTCACAGTGCAAAATACAGGCTTTGTACTTTACAATGAGCATGGCTATCCAAGAAAAAGACAGGAATAAAAAAAATGCCTTGAATTGGTTCACATGCATACCACAGACATCATTACCTGCCAATGTGCACTCAATGGACTTGAAAAATCTTGGTCTCTAATGAAACTGTCTCAATAGAAGTTTTCATATTGTCATAGTGTCTTTTTATCAACTAATTTCTAAGCCTCATATATAATATGAAACCTTCAGAATTTAGAATTTAAACTAGGATAATGCAATACTCAAAAAATACGACTTACTTATACTGGGGTCCTTGTGTTAAATAGTTACATAGTTTTTACAAAGGCACAAATAGATGCTGTCCCATTCTCTACCCTTAGCAATACGAATAAAAACTAATCAACATAAAAATCAAATTACTATAAGCATCATGGTCCTGAACAAATGTTCAAGATTATAAGGCTGAATTCTTGTCCATTATGTGGAAGTGACCACCTTATAATAATATTTTATTTCAGCACGATACGTTTGTACAGAGATGAGTGACATTTTAGTTGTGCATGAAAAAGGCCCAGTGATGGACTGATCACATCATCATTACCTCTCCACTGCTTCTGCTGTCACCTTATTCAACTGAAGTAGCTTACCGTGTAGATGGAACACTTCGACAATAAAAATACCCTAACTGTAGTATATAGTCTTACTCATCTATTTCATTGAAGTTACTGCTGGGATGAGTTCCTTGTTACACAGTACAGTTAAGACTATGTATTACTTCGTTTACCTTTACAGCAGTCTACCAAGTAGTATCATTGAAGCTGAACATACATAAGTAACATATTTAGCTATCAAAACTTTGCGGTCCAGTCCCTGGGCCCATTATGTACCTCTGCAATCCTTTGACTACTGTCCATAGGATGGGTATCAGGAACATAATAAAAATCTTAAACTAATATATAAGGGTGAATAAGGTGTCCCATGGCTTGATACCTTACTTGCTCTTATGTATTAGTTTACACTGAGTATGTGAGACGAGTTCAGACTCGTCTCACACACTCAGTGTCTGTGGTTCAATTCCCAGCTGGATGGAAACATTGGGCATTGTTTCCTTACACCTGCTGTCCCTCTTCACCTAGCATTAAGTAGGTACCTGGGTGTTAGTCAACTGTTGTGGGTCGCATCCTGGGGGACAATTAAAAAAACCACAACGGAAATAAGACATACAGTCCTTGATGACACACTTTATTGGTTTATCCTGGATGACTAAACAATTCCTTGGGTTAAAAAAAATCCCAACAAATCCTATCTTAAAAGGTTGGATTTCAGTACAGGAGTATCATAAGACAGTTGAACTACAGCAGTGCTCCATTATTATGTTCTAATTAATTCATGAATGCAGGTTCTTAACAAGGCTAACAATCGACTAACTTAATAATATGCTTAAATTTAAAAAAAAAATAAATAAATATTTCAATATTTCGAAGGAGGCAGCTTGTCAAATGTTACCAGTTGAGTTACTTAGCTTTTTAACTTTCAAGGTTTAAATAATAAGATATTTCAAGGACCCCCAATAGAAATAAGTTGCTCTGACTCTTTTGGGGTTATCCTAGGTAATTTACACTATATATGATAATTGTACTGAAACTTACTTACAAGGCTACCGCCTATCGTTTCCATTTCTCCTTAAAAAAAATACAATCATAAATGATCTCCACATAAAATACAAATGCAATGTAAGACACAAATCAAGTATTATAGGTACCGTGAGGCTGCCCAGCGGAGGTAGATGAGTCTCTGGTGACCGCCATGTTTGTTGCTGTTTCTTCCTTCACATCCACCAGCGTCCTCCTCAACCTAACTTTGAACACATTATCAGTAAGTAAGTTTATTCAGGTATACACAAATACAGTTACATAGAATTATCATACATAGCAGCATATGTGTAGAGAACCTAGGATAACCCAAAAAAAAGTCAGACAGAGTGACTTATTTCCATTGGGGTCCTTTTACCTTATTATTATAGTATAAAGGCTATAATATTTTCTTATTATTCTACAATGAAGATAACATCTTATTATCATACTAAAAAGACTATCTACTACACGAGGGTCATTAAGACTATCTACAATACGAGGGTCATTACTAGGAATAAGGTAAAATTTACACGTATGTTAGATAAAAAATAGAAAATCATTCCCCTCCCTTTCTGTAGCTACATTCATCAGACACCTTTTGGCACTCTTCTTGAACTGGTTCATGCTATGACTGGCTTTGACATGTGCGGGCAGTCTGTTCCATTCCTTTATTGCTGTACAATAAAAGGTGTTTGACGCCTGGTCAATGACTGTGGGTACTACAAAGTTGTGCTCTCTCCCCCTAGTACTATGATTGCTTTGGTTCCCAACCTGACAAAATTGACAGCAAGATATTCTGGACACTGTTTGTGAGCAATTTTATAAACATGATTTAGCTTCAGTTGTTTTACTCTGTCTTCAACATTCAGCATATCCAACTGCTGTAATTCATCCTGGCCTACATGTTCTCTTGGTCCCAGCCCCAGATGAATCTTACGATTTTGTTCTGGGTGATTTGCAGTCTATCTTTCAGTTTTTTTTGTCAAGGCAGAGTACCATGAAGAGCAAGCGTAATCCATATGGCATTGTATAAGGGCTAGACATAGGGTCCTGCGAGCCTCAGTAGGTAGACACTGTGCTTGTCTATACAGGAACTTCAGTCTGGCATTCGCTTTCTTTACTACACTGTTCCCTATCATTCTCCTGACATGTATGGGTCAAAGGGGATTCCCAGATATTTTACTGATGAAACCAAAGTGATGGGCTCCCCATTACACTGAACATTAACATTAATTACCCTTCTCAGTTTATGTTTCGCGCCAAAGAGAATGGCTTCAGTTTTCCCTAGGTGTAATGATGGTTTGTTGTCTACTAACCATTTGCTGCAGGACTCCAGTTCCAGTGTTAAAACATTAGCAATATCTTGTGGGTCTTTACCTGTCACTAACAGAGCACTGTCATCTGCATACAGTAGGAGTTTGCACTTGACACTGATAGGCATATCATTGACATAACATAAGAATAATAAGGGACCCAGAATACTACCTTGGGGAACTCCACATGTTATCGGCAGGGGTTCTGATTCCGTTTTGTTGATTTTGACAATTTGTCTCCTGTTGCTAAGGTAGGACTTAAACCAGTCTACAGAACCTATACCGATAGCTTGAAGTTTCTTACATAATATATTGTGGTTGACAGTATCGAAGGCCTTTTCCAGGGTTCAGTTCTTCGTTTAATCCTAACCTCTTTAACTCGTAGAATTACCATTAGTGTGGAAAATTTTCTAGGGTGCTTACCTGTATGTACCTCAACATTATGTACATACCAGTAATCTCATTGGGAGACAACCATATTGTTTACCGTAGTCACCCCGTGTAGACATGTGAGAAAACTTAACCACCCCTGGTCGCGGCAAGTGGTTCCTTCGACCTCACAATCTTATCCATATCTATCCGAGACCAGTATGGATTGGATAGCACCCACAAGTACGGTGCTACTAATTAATTGTGGACTGTATAGATTATATTAGTTTAGCTGAATGAAGGGGGGGGGGGTAGGATACACCGGGATACATCCATCAAGGAAAAACATTTGTACATAATCCCACCACTTACCAGATGTTCTCTGGTGGTCACTTGATGTAGCTGTATCACTCATAACCTATCCAATTACAACATAACCTAACTGGCCAGCATCAGTCTGTTATAACTAGAAGGGTTACTTAACTGTGGGTGATTGATACTCCTTATTTCCTCCATTCACCATCTCATTTCGATGTCCTGCTACACCAACACGGTTCTCATTCCAGCAGGACGAGGTATCCGTTGGTTTGTCCCGCTTTAGAAGTCGTGACTCAATGAGCTTCACTTTCCTCGTCTCAGGAACGAGGTCTAACGTGTTCACTCAGAGCAAGGCGACTTATTTCACTTCACGCATTATCTTAACTTAGCGTTATTATCATTAATTACATTACAATTCACAAGACGATTTAATGTCTCATAATTATTATACACATTAGAGATCACTCCATTAAGATCTGAGACCGATGAGTGATGATTGAACCAAGGGTAATTTTTCCCAGGACACACTCCATAGTGACGCGCCAGTCACCCGGTCCTACCCTTATTCACTCATTTTACCACTTTATTACGGTGGTCCCGTAAATCACGTTCCCTCACTCTCCACCAGGAACAGTTACGACACTTCCTATTATGAAATGAGGCCTATATTAATCCTTAGGCCGCCGTGAATGCCAATTTCCTGGTTCCATGCTTTCCCAGCCTCCTCACCACATTCAAAACACTCCCGCCTCCCCATGGCCCGAGTCCCCCAATACCCCCGCACATCCGCGCATGCGCAAAGGGAACTCTTGGTTCTACCCTATTGTCAAATACATTTTTGACTCATATCGACACATTAAACACCTATTAGGCGCTATAGCTTCGGAAAATCAAAAATTTTCCACAATTAGTAAGTTAGAATTACCATTATTAACCAAGTTAGAATTACCATTGGTAAGTAACTTAGAATTACCGTTAGTAAGTTACAATTACCATTATTAAGTTAGAATTATTATTAGTAAGTTAAAATTGCCTTTAGTAAGTTAGAATTACCATTAGTAAGTTAGAATTACCATCAGTAAGTCAGAATTACCATTAGTAAGTTAGAATTACCATTAGTAAATTAGAATTGCCATTAAGTAAGAATTAGCATTAGCAAGTTAGAATTACCATTAGTAAGTTAGAATTGCCATTAATAAATAAATAAGTTTATTTAGGTACAGGTACACATAAATACAGTTACACAAATTATCATACATAGTGTAAATTACCCAGAATAACCCAAATAAAGTCAGATAAAGTGACTTACTTCCACTGGGGTTCTTGTTATTTCCAATAATCCAAAAATCTTTGAAAGGGTCCTAAGAAGCAAGATCACCACCCATCTAGAAACCCATCAGTTACACAACCCAGGGCAACATGGGTTTAGAACAGGTCGCTCCTGTCTGTCTCAACTATTGGATCACTACGACAAGGTCCTAAATGCACTAGAAGACAAAAAGAATGCAGATGTAATATATACAGACTTTGCAAAAGCCTTCGACAAGTGTGACCATGGCGTAATAGCGCACAAAATGCGTGCTAAAGGAATAACAGGAAAAGTCGGTCGATGGATCTATAATTTCCTCACTAACAGAACACAGAGAGTAGTCGTCAACAGAGTAAAGTCCGAGGCAGCTACGGTGAAAAGCTCTGTTCCACAAGGCACAGTACTCGCTCCCATCTTGTTCCTCATCCTCATATCCGACATAGACAAGGATGTCAGCCACAGCACCGTGTCTTCCTTTGCAGATGACACCCGAATCTGCATGACAGTGTCTTCCATTGCAGACACTGCAAAGCTCCAGGCGGACATCAACCAAATCTTTCAGTGGGCTGCAGAAAACAATATGAAGTTCAACGATGAGAAATTTCAATTACTCAGATATGGTAAACATGAGGAAATTAAATCTTCATCAGAGTACAAAACAAATTCTGGCCACAAAATAGAGCAAAACACCAACGTCAAAGACCTGGGAGTGATCATGTCGGAGGATCTCACCTTCAAGGACCATAACATTGTATCAATCGCATCTGCTAGAAAAATGACAGGATGGATAATGAGAACCTTCAAAACTAGGGAGGCCAAGCCCATGATGACACTCTTCAGGTCACTTGTTCTAACTAGGCTGGAATATTGCTGCACACTAACAGCACCTTTCAAGGCAGGTGAAATTGCCGACCTAGAAAATGTACAGAGAACTTTCACGGCGCGCATAACGGAGATAAAACACCTCAATTATTGGGAGCGCTTGAGGTTCCTAAACCTGTATTCGATGGAACGCAGGAGGGAGAGATACATGATTATATACACCTGGAAAATCCTAGAGGGACTAGTACCGAACTTGCACACGAAAATCACTCACTACGAAAGCAAAAGACTTGGCAGACGATGCACCATCCCCCCAATGAAAAGCAGGGGTGTCACTAGCACGTTAAGAGACCATACAATAAGTGTCAGGGGCCCGAGACTGTTCAACTGCCTCCCAGCACACATAAGGGGGATTACCAACAGACCCCTGGCAGTCTTCAAGCTGGCACTGGACAAGCACCTAAAGTCAGTTCCTGATCAGCCGGGCTGTGGCTCGTACGTTGGTTTGCGTGCAGCCAGCAGCAACAGCCTGGTTGATCAGGCTCTGATCCACCAGGAGGCCTGGTCACAGACCGGGCCGCGGGGGCGTTGACCCCCGGAACTCTCTCCAGGTAAACTCCAGGTAATACTATTGTGTCTCGTAACTCGACTGCTAGAGCACTCAGCTCACACACTGAGGTCCATGGTTCGAACCCCGGTACGGGTGGAAACAGTAGGACGTGTTTCCTTAAGACACCTGCTGTCCCTGTTCACCTAGCAGTAAGTAGGTACCTGGGTGTTAGACTGGTGTGGGTCGCATCCTGGGGGGCAAAACTGACCTAATTTGCTCGAAATGCTCTGCATAACCAGGTACTTTCTGTATAGGAGTATGTTATTGATGTCAGCTAGGCCTGTATACGTCGTACATGTACTTGAAGAAATAAAGATTATTATTATTATTATTATTATTATTATTATTATTATTATTATTATTATTATTATCTTTAACCGCTTGCCATATTCTTTTATCTCTGTTACCTTTAGTCAAGATGATTCAGCTTTCTTCTATCAATGGTTCAGATAAAAAGTATATTGTAAATCCGGGGAGAATATG